TATAGCGCCACACCAAGAGTCCTCAATAATGGTTGCTCATTTTTTAATTGATATTATTATTAAATAGGATAAAGAATGACTAAACTACCAGCTGTTCCACGGGACAAAGAGGAGGCTTTCTGCTCCCGTAAAGATTTACAGCCTCGGAAATCCTGTACAGGGTCACTGTGAGTCGGAACGGACTCCACGGCACATAATGACAACAACAACAATTAGAATATTAATATTTGTCATATATTTTGCCTCCAATTTTGGATACAAACAATAGTCACTTAAATATTAATGTGTAGTTGTTGTTAGGTGCCATCAAGTCAGTACTGACTCATAGCGACCTTATGCACAGCAGAACAAAACACTGCCCAATCCTGAGCCAATCTCACAATTGTTGCCACACTTGAGCCAACTGATGCTGCCACTTGGCCAATCCATCTCATTGGGGGTCTTCTTCTTTTTCTCTAACCCTCCACCTTACCAAACATGTTTTTTTTTTCCGTTGCTTGTTCCTCCTGACAATATGTCTGAAGTGTGAGAGACGAAGTATGGCCATCCTGGCCTTCAAGGAACACTCTGATTGTACTTCTTCCAACACAGATCTGTTGGTTCTTTTGGCAGCCCATGGCACTTTCAAAATTCTCCTTCAACACCGCAACTCAAAAGCATCAATTCTTCTATGGTCTTCCTTATTCACTGTCCAGATTTCGCATGCATATGAGGTTACTGAAAATACCATGGCTTGGGTCAGGTGCACCTTAGTCCTCAAGCTGACATCTTTGCTCTTCAGCACTTTAAAAAGGTGTTGTGCACCAGATTTGCCTAATGCAATACATCGTTTGATTTCTTGACTGCTGCTTCCATGAGTGTTGATAGTTGATCCAAGAAGAATGAAGTCCTTGACAACTTCAATCTTTTCTCCATTGATAAGAATGTTGTTTATTGGTCCAGTGTTTCTTTATTTACATTGAGATGCAATCCATATGGAAGGCTGTGCTCTTTGATCTTCATCAGTAAATATTTTAAGTCTTCTTCACTTTCAACAAGCAAGGTTGTATCATCTGCATATCGCAGGTTGTTAATGAGTATACCTCCAATCCTGATGCCATGTTTTCCTTCATTAACCCAGCTTCTCAGATGATTTGCTCAGCATACAGGTTGAATAAGTATGGTAAAAGACTACAACCCTGTCGCATACCTTTCTTAATTTAAACCATTCAGTGTTCCCAGTTCTGTTCGAACAACTGCCTCTTGGTCCAGGTACAGATTCCTCATGAGCACAGTTAAGTGTTCCGGAATACTCATACTTCGCAATATTGTAGTATTTTGCTTTAAAACGAGATATCATATCCAATTACAGCATAAGAAATCCTAAATCTCAGTTACAGAATTATTGCTGTTGTGGCTAGTGCCGTTGAGTAGGTTCTGACTCATAGCAACCCTATCTATATAGGGCTTCCAAGGAGTAGCTGGTGACCTTGAAATACCTAACTTACAGTTCAAATAAACCTTGCAGTCCAGTGCGTTAGCCCACAGTGCCACACCACGTCTCCAATGACAGGATTAGGCCACTTGATTATGAAATTACCATCACGGTACCTCGACATTTATCTATATGATTGATGACGTGTGATTGATTTATTTGTCAGGATTGTTGGCATCCTAAAATAAATTATATCTTCATCCACTCTCTGAAAAGATTAAGATAACTGAATAACACATTGAGACATTCCATAACCTTTCTATCAGAAATTCCAGTGTAAATGTATTTGTCCAAGTTCTGTTATCGGCCTATCACTTCCTTGGTCTATCTATTCATCAATTTATCTATCTATTCCATCTATCTGTCCATCTATAATATGTGTCAAGTGGTAAGAAATACACTGTACTGTCTGGTTTAGCAGGTCCAAATATTGCTTTAAACAAATTATCCTTTCCTATACTATTCACTTTGTTAGTACAAGGAAAAACAATATAGTAAAATACAGAACAGAGAGAAAGCCACTGTTTAAATGGATCAAATATTTTATGTTCAGGTGCAGTGCAGTCTATGACTATTAGACAAAGGGCTGAGACTGTTATGACACTGAGGAGTACACCAGAGGTCAACAAACTCAGCAGTTGCTAACCATGTAAGAATCAAATAATTGTAAAGGTCAAAATCAAATACAGAATTGCAGAGCCCAGTTAGCTGACCTTCTCTACTCCAACTCTCTTAAGCAGAATTTCTTAGGGGACTGGTGGTGGTGATGGTGGAGTGCCATGGAGTTGGTTCCAACTCACAGCAAGCCTGTACAGGGCTTCTGAGGCTATAAATCTTTACGGGAGCAGAAAGCCTCATCTTTTTCTATGTGCTATGAAATTAGCACTGATGAAACATGTTTACTTTGCAAATCTATCCAATGACACTTATTTATCCAAAAGCACATACATGAGGATGAGTAAAAAATTATCGGCACTCCAGTTATATTAAAATGCCTGCCCATGTCCAAGGCTAATGACAACATTGAGTGTGCATATGGCATGATTCTGCTGAATAGATGAGTGACAGTGGATTATGTGGCAAATAATTTACAAATGAGTTTGCATTAAGATTTACAGCCTCAGAAACCCTATACAGAGTCACTATGAGTTGGAACCAACTTCAAGACACACACACACACACACACACACACACGCATATACATATACATATGTTGTTGTTGCTAAGTGCCGTTGAGTTGGTTATGACCCATAGAGACCCTGTATAGGGTTTCCATATATATATACATAGTCACTATATATAGGAATATTGGTGTGTCACTGTGGGTAAATACGCTGGACTGCAAAATAGGTTTGAACCACAAAGTCAGCAGCTCAAACTCAGTAGCTGCTCCTCAGAAACCCTATACAGGGCCACTATGGATCAGAACTGACTCGATAGCACATAACAACTATATATGTGTGTGTGTGTGTGTGTGTGTGTGTGTGTATAATGTAATCCTGGTGTGGCGCTGTAGGATAAGCACTAGAGTGCTAACCACAAGATTAGTGATTCAAACCCACCAGTTGCTGTGACTCCACGGCATTAAACAACATATTTATATATCAACATAAGTAAAAAAGTATTGCTACTGGGGTTCCAGGTCATCCATGCATGGGTTTATTCCAAACAAAACATTTTTAAATATGTCTCTGTGATCAGTGGATGGCTTCAGACAAGTTCTTTCAGTAATACACTTGTCTTAACTCTCATTGTTGTTGTTGTTTTTAAGTGTTATTGAGTAAGTTCCAACTCATAGTGACTTAGGGTAACTTAAAACAAGGATACCTTTTGTGCCAGGGATAAAAATGACTTTGAGGTTAGAGCTAATATAAAATTTTTAACAAATCTCTAGTGTACATATTTCCAAATTATTGAATTTTTGCAACAGGTTTATAGGAATACTGCCCCCACATAAAACAAGTTTAAGATAGATCAAGCATTTTAAGGAAAGTTGGAAGACCTCAAAGATGAGCCAAGACAGGAAACACCAGTAACCTCAACAAATGAAGAAACTATTGCTGGAGTGGGAGAAGACCATAGAATTACCACTGATGCGACAGTTACTGAAATTGGGATCTCATATGGTTTGACATTTTCTATTTTAAGCAAAAATCTTGGTTTCAGCAAGCTTTTGGGTTGTCTATTGGCAAAGGGTTGTACAAAATCAGCCAGCTCAAAGAGTTTATTTTTCCATCAGTTTTTTTCAGCCATACTGAAGCTAATGAAGATGATTTCATGGTACACATTGATTGTAACTAGGGATATATAGAGAGCAAGATACAAGAGGATCTGCTGGGACAATGAAATTCAAAACACAGAGGTCAGCTCAGAAGGGCACGGTGACTGGGTTTTATTTTTTGGACGGTGGGTGGAATTCTAAAGTGGGCATCTATATAGATTTTCTCAAAGGACACAGGATGATCACAGGGGCTTATAACAACAAGTTTTTTTTAAAAACTGCCAACTGCGTTGGTGATAAAAGGCCGGGAAAGTTGCACTGAGGAATTGTTTTCCTTATTACAAAGTACCTACTAATTCTTTGAGGGTAGGGCTGTCTTATGTGAATTTCATTGGGAAACCTCACCTCATCTACTAAACAGCTCTGATCTGGCCCCTTAGAATTCTTTTTGCTCCCCAAACTCCAAGACTATTTAAAAGGACCATGATTGGAGTCCCTTGAGGATGTCAAAACTGCTGTTTTGATGTGGTGTAAATTGAAGCGGCCAGAATTCTGGGAATGGTTGAAAGATGGAAACACCTCCTTCGATGGTGTATAAACATAGAGGGAGGATATTTCAAGAAACAACAGCTTCACACTTGGATATTTTTGTTTAATAAAGGTGCCTCTGATTTTGCAGCAATTTTTTTTTACTTATTCTGGTCTGTGTGTGTGTGTTCTGCTGATTTTGAATGGATTTCCACTCATAGTGAGGCTATAAGACTTTCTAATAGGGTTTCCAAGGCTGTAAGCAGCCTACAACATCTTTTTCCTGCTATAGGTTGGTGGGATCCAACCTTTTAGTTGGCAGCCAAGAGCTAGTGCACCACCAGGGCGCCTTCAGGAGTACTAATGGCTATTTTCTCATGAACAGATATTTCATTATTACATAATTTTTCAACTGTAAAAAAAAATGGAGTAGTGACTTCCTCCTAAGTGTCTCTGAAGGAATTAAATTCAATAAAATTAAATCAGAAGATCAGCAGGCTTTTGAGTTCATTAATCAAAATTAAATCACAATATCAGCAGGCTTTTGAGTCCATTAATCAGTGTCTATTTCTACAGATGGAGTCCTAGCGTGGTGCTGTGGGTGAATGAGCCAGGCTGCAAGGTCGGCAGTTCAAACTCACCAGCTTCTCCTTGGAAACCTTATACAGGGTCGCTATGGTTTGGAACAGACTCGACAGCACTTAACAACAACATTTCTACAGATATTTTTCTGTTATGTAACAGTGAAACGGATAAAGTTCTCCATAACCCTATTACCTCCAATAACTGCAGAGTAACTTCTGTGTGCGTTAACCAAGGGCTCTCGTTCATCTGTGGGCTCAGAACGACCTACAGCATAAAAAGGTACAATGACAGAGACACAAATAGGAGAGAATACTTCTGAGAACTTCATCAACATGTGAAAGTTGAACAGACAATTATAATAGAGACAGGAACATGCCACAATGAACACACACAAAGAAAAAGGACAGAGGATGAGCAAACACAAGCCTTGCCAAAGCTTCATTCCACGTACCTGCATTCCCTGCAAAGGGCTTCGTGAGCTCCCGCTCCAGTGTGCCAGGCCCTGTCCCTGCTGCACAGAGGGATGAAGCGGCCACATGGCCATGGATGGTGACAGTAGTGGGGCCACCTAGGCCAAGCGCAGCCTTCAGAGGAGCTGCACTGTCGAAGCTCACAGCCGACAGACAGCCAGTGAAGCCCTGTGCACCCGCTAGCTGTGTGTCGGGGTCCAAGCTGAGGGGCTCTGCAGGTGAGAGAAGTGGACACAGCCAGTTACTGAGCAGAAATAGGAAATATCTACCTGACTGCAATATCAAACTTTCCTCCTATTCCTTCATCCTTGCATCATTAGGAAGAGGGCCAGAGCCAATACCTAAGGGCTTAGTTAATGAGAGCCAGAGTGTCAGCCACAGTGAGTAAACCACAGGTTCGGGTATAAATGCCATTTCATTTTTCAAATGATGACTGAAATACATTTTTGATGGAATTCATGGTGAACAATCTGAGGAGTCACAGTGAAAATGTCTCCTGGATTTGCAGACAGCAGGGTCTAAGGATCCCTTGCAGTCATGCCCCAATTCATAATTTAATCTGGCAGAATGCTTTTATGTCCCAGAGATTGCCCCAGGGGTGCCTTTCTCCTGACAACAGGTGCAGCACAGGAGACTTCTCAACAGTCATCATTTCCTGGTCTTCACATTGGCAGCCTCTTTGGCTCCTTTCCATACAAGGTCTCCTGTCTCCCCAATTCGGGCCCTCACCCTTACAAACCTTGTTTATAATATGGTTGATGACGAGCAGACATGGATACAGGAGATCAGATCATCGGTAGATTAATTTCAACGATGTCTGTATCTAGTATTCCACTTGTTTAGTGAGTATGAACTCTGAACAAAGGGGGCTAGCTGTAGACTTCAAATGCTTGCCTATCCAGTTAGGAAAGAGTCATACACAATTGCATGTCAATATGATCTGGACCCTTGGTATCTGCTGCCAAACTCCCTTCCCATTTCACCTGCTTAAATGGGCTTGTTGACCCTGTTTTTTTAATAGCAGAACAACTACCAGAATGGGCCAAATGGTTCTCATGTGCTAAGCAGTTTCCATAGATTGTGATTTAATAGCCATAGCAACTATATGAGTGGTATTCCTACTTGTGACTGAGGGTCATAAACTTCAGAAGTTAGTAACAAGCCTGTTTTAGTTCATCACTTTCATAACAAAATTTTCTTTATTTTACTCACTATCTCTTCTTGTTGTTAAGTGTCATTGAGTCAGTTCCAACTCATAGCGACCCTGTATAGGGTTTCTGAGGCTTTTTACATCTTTGTAGGAGCAGAAAGCCTCATCTTTCTCCCGTGCAGCAACTGGTGGACTTTAATGTTGACTTTGTGGTTCACAGTCCAGTTCTTATCCTATGGAGCCACACTCCCCTAAAATTGCCTGGACATGTTCATAATTGCTCACGTTAGGTAATGGATGAATGGGCATTATATGATTTTTTTCTACATTAATTAATGCATCATTTCCATACTGTCTCTGTGTATATTCTATTAGCTTTTCTTGTTGATATTGTTGGTTGTTGGCTCAAGACAAGCTTTAAATTCACACTTAAAATCTCAGCTGTTTTGCTCTTTTCATGTTATATTTAACTCTTGGAGGGCAACTGCTATTTTCTGTGAGTTCAAATTTTGAACTCATTATCTTTGAGTTCAAGTTTTGTCTTCATTTACTGATCATATATTATAAACAATAATAATTCTTATTTAGTATTATTTGCTAGATGGTGGTTCTGTAGCACTTTGAAACACAAGGTCAGCAGTTTGAGCCCACCAGTCACTTTGCAGGAAAGAGATGAGCCTTTCTGCCCCTGCAAAGATCTACAGCCTCAGAAACTGTATCTAGTGTCACTTTAATTTGGAATTGACTCAATGGTACTAACAACACCTAAAATTCTAGACAACATAAAAATTTAAAGAGCCATTTTTATCACAAACATAATGGAGAGTGAGGATTTAAAGCAGGTTTTAATGACTTGTCATGACTCATAGAGTTAGTAAAGAATGAGGATGATTTTTTTGAACCCTCATCCACACTGTCAGTCAGCTGTGTCCTATGCATGAGCTATAGAAAGTTGCTCTCTTTGTATTAGCTGTCTGCCTCACATGACAGATAGAAAGCTCCTGGTGGGCAGTCGGTGTTTTCTTCACATTTCATTCTAGCACTTAGCATAGTGTCTGTTACAAAGGACGTATGCAATGTACCTTTATAATCAAGGCATAAATTTAGTACCAACGCCATGCAACTCAATCTTCTATGGATGGTGCAAGCTGTTGAAACTATTTTTAAAATGACAATCTCGGGTGCAGAGGTCAAGAGATTATCTGCAATGGCTCATGTCAAAATACACTTCCAGATTTGATTACCATCTCAAGTCACTGCGTTTCACTATGTTTCAATTTCACTGAAGACTGCTGAACTATTACTTAGTTAAACAACATACTCTGAAGCTTTTTGGTTTCAGGAATCTAATTGTTATCGTGCCTTGAGTTGTTCCGACTCATAGCAATCCTGTATAGGTTTCCAAAGGAGTATAGAATTTCCAAGGAGCAGCTGGTGAGTTTGAACCAATGACCTTGCAGTTATCAATCCAGTGCTTATCCTACAGACCCACACCAGGACTCCAGGAATCATATTCAGTTTCCTACCTCAATAGTTGAGATTTTTCTCCAATTGCGATTTGGTAATACAAAATTCTATCAGCAAACTTACAGCTGTAAAAGTGAAGGTTTTTCAGTTAAAAAACCTCTACAGTAATTAAAAGGCACCCTGGTAGCATAGTGGATTAATGATTCAAACTTCTGAACCACAAGGTCAGAAGCTCAAATCTACCAGTTGCTCTGCATGACAAAGATGAGGCTTTCTGTTCCCATAAGGATTTACAGCCTTGATGTCACACAACCACCACCACCGAAGTAATTAAAATTATGGGTATGATGTTTGTATTGCTGTAATTGTAACGAACATCTTTTAGAAACATATACATATCTTGACCAACCTAACTGTATGAGGCATCAAAGGACTTTATGTATAAGGAGTTCCATGTAGATTCATGATTTCTAAGTCTACTGGAATGCAATGAACTTGGAATAATTCAACAAAAAGATTATTAAAAATCAGGAAGTTACTTTTTTAGAGAAGTCCTTTTTTATTTTCCATTTGTATCATGTATGTATGCATGTAAATCCTATATATGTGACAATTGTGAGGTTGGCCTAGGATCAGGCCGTATTTCATTCTGTTGTGCATATGAGGTAAATGAAAATATTATAGCACGGGTCAGGCACACCTTAGTCCTCAAACTGACATCTTTGCTTTTTAACATTACAAGATCTTTTGCAGCAGATGTGCCAAATCCAATGTTGCTTGATTTCTTGATTGCTGCTTCTGTGAACACTGATTGTGGATCCAAGTAAAATGAAGCCTTTGACAACTTCAATCTTTTCTCCATTTACCATGATGTTATTTATTGATCCAGTTGTTGAGAATTTTGTTTTCTTTATATTGAGTTGCAATCTATACTAAAGGATGTAGTCTTTCATATTCATTAGTATTTCAAGTCCTATTCACTTCCAGCAAGTAGGTTGCTCTTCTTCATATAATACAGCTTCATATAATACAGCTTCTCAGATTATTTGCTCAGCATGTGTATATATATATCAACATACATACATTATTGCTAAAAGCTGTTGATTCAGGTCCAACTCAGTGACCCTGTTCATTTTTTTATTATTAAAGAAATAAAACTTGTCCTATACCACCCAAATCTGAACACAAATTTATGTTCTCTTGTACTTACTAATTGCTCTGAAAGTAACAGTAAGCTTAAAATAGAAGTTATCCTAAAATGAAGCCATGCAAGGCACAATGTTTTATTAGCCTTTGATCAAGATGTATGTCTCTAGGTATGGATGAAATGAATATTTATAATTTTATTAGACTCAATTGCTTCAAGCTATAAACTGCATTGCTGAGTTTTAACTTCAATTTTCAAAACCTGACAGACAAGCATTTAAAGACATATTCTTGAAAAAAAAGTTAACATCTTCAATTCCATGCTACTGTTCTCTATTTACTTGCTTATAGGAAAATAAAAATTCACATAATAATATTGACTGTTCTACTTTTTATTAATATCATCTCTTCCATATATTGCAGTTCACATTTATATTTCTTTAAAGGTACTAAATTGTGCCATTAAAGATATTTCTTTGTCAATATCATACTTACTGATTGCAATAATCTACCTTGTACTATAGAATTTATGAACATTAGGGCAGGAAAGTGTATGGGTGGTTTGTTTTGTTTTGTCATGTTAATGTTGTTGTGTAGTATCGTGTCGTCTGCTCTTCTTCGTGGTGTTCTTTTGTGTTTTTTCTGAGCAGTTGGTGGGTTTGAACTGCCAACATTACAGTTGGCAATCCAGTGTTTACCATACAGTGAGAGCACACAGGTATATGAATTCTGGCATTGAAAAGGAATCAGCTCACTTTTTGAAGATAAGAGTTATCATTTCGCTTACAGATGAGATCTACTCTACCAAAGAACAAGAAGGCTTAGGACTGAAGAGATGACAAAATATTAATTCAAAGTACAGTAGCAATGATTGGGGACGGAGAGCAGAATTCAACCAAAGATAAAACAGGGAACAAAATTTTCCACTTGTATGCTAAAATATATATTCATATGAGGGGGCTTCAATAAATTCACAGAAAAATTCCATTATTTTGAAATTCTATTTTTCCATGTCTTTTTGAAGTCCCCACAGATGTGTGTGTTTATGTGCATGTAGAACCCTAATGGCACTGTGGGTTAGGCATTGGGCAGGAGGTGCTTTTCTAGGGGCCAGTCTGTCTTGATAACGTGTATGAAGTATGAGACACGAAGTCTAGCCTTCCTGGCTTCTAAGAAGCATTCTGGCTGTACTTCTCCAACACATACTTGTTGGTTTTTTCTGATACTTTCATGGTACTTTCAATATTCTCATCCAATACAATAACTCAAATGCATCAATCTTCTACAGTCTTCTTTATTCACTGTGCAACTTTCACATGCGTACGAGACTATTGAAAATACCATGGCTTGGGTCAGGTTCATCTTAGTCCTCAAATTGATATCTATGTTCTTGAACACATAAAAGAGTTCTTGTGCAGCAGATCTGCCTACTGCAATACATTGTTTGATGTTTTGACTGCTGCTTCCATAAGCACTGATTGTGGAGTCAAGCAAAATGGAGTCTTTGACAACTTCAGTCTTTTCTCTACTTGTTGTTGTTAGGTGCCGTCGAGACAGTACTGACTCATAGCAATCTTATGCACAACAGAATGAATCAGTGCCTGGTCCTTCACCAACCTCACAATTGTTGTTACACTTATCATGATATTATTTATTGGTCCAGTTTTAAGGATTTTGTTTTCTTTACACTGAGGTTCAATCCATACTAAAGTCTTTGATGTTCATAAGTATTTTTAAGTCCTCTTTACTTTCTGCAAGCAAGGTCGTATCATCTGCATACTGCAGGTTGTTAATGAGTCTTGAGTTTCTGACAGTTCCCCTTGATGTACTGTCATAGCCATTTTAAAGTTATCTTCAGGAAAAGTTGGCTTGCATGTGATATTAATGATATTGTTCAATGATTTCTGCATTACTTTGGGTCATCTCTCTTTTAAATGGGCACAAATATAGATCTCTTCTAATCAATTGGCTAGGAAGCTGTCTTTCAAATTCCATGGCATAGACGAGTGAACACCTCCAGTGCTTCATCAGTTTTTTAAAATATTTCAATTTGTATCCCATCAATTCCTGGAGGCTAGACTTTCACCAATACCTTTAGTGCATCTTGAACCTCTTCCTTCAGTACCATCAGTTCTTAATAAGATGCTACCTCTTGAAATTACTGAACATATGCAGGTTCTTTTTGGTATAGTGACTCTGTGTATACATTCTGGATTCTGCATTACTTGTCTGTCAGTCTGTTGTACTATGCTGGCTTGCGTGTTGCTGTGCTGCTGAAAGCTATGCCACCAATATTTTCAGTATCAACAAGGTCATCCATGATGGACAGGTTTCAGCAGAACTTCCAGACTAAGACACACCAGGACGAAGGCTAGTTGGACTACTTCTGAATGTTGAGCTACTAAAAACTTTATGAATAGCACCAGAATATTGTACTATACAGTGCCAGAAGATGAGCCCCTTGGGCTGGAAGGCACTCAAGATATGACTACGGAAGAGCTGCTTTTTCAAAGTAGAAGAAAATGACCTCTCTTAAACTTAAATCTACTTTATTCATTAAATGATTTTTCATTTGTCCCTGCTAACATATAACTTGTGAACTTTATGCCTGCTTTGATTCTGCCTTTCCTGAATTGTTAGAAAACTTCCAGGCTTCATTATATCTTATTGCCATATGAGAGGGTAAGCATGGAGGTATTTTCAAGGAACTTTGCTCATTCTGTAGGCTGCACTTATTCATGGTTATGTGAACACTCATATAATCCACCTTGACTGTCACTCACTATGAAACTAGAAGACCAGAAGCTCCCTTCTGCATAATGAATCCTTCCTGTTCTTACAACAGGGCACTCTTGATCCATGTCATGGGGGAAACACTATTTCTTCCACTTACCTACAATTGTTCCCAATATGATGGATTTGACAGCATTGAATTCTGTCCCTGAAGACAGGCTGACTTGTCTCCTTGCACTTTGGTTAACCTATTTAATGTTCCATCAGAAGCAATATCAATATAGCAAGAAATTTTGATAAGAGGATAGGAATCAAAGGGGGGAGGCCAAGGAAAATAATAAAAATAAATGTTAGTACTATCACAATAAAGGTTAAAGAAACCAACATCTAATAATGATATAGAAAGGGGAAAACTTTCTAGAATGCCTCCACAATTACACTACACCCCACTGCCTATCTATTTTCCTACGTAAAATGTTGCTGCTGTTGAGTGCTGTTGAGTTGGTTCTCACTCATAGCAACCCTGCAAAGGGTTTCCAAGAAACGGCTGGTGGGTTTGAATGTTAAACCCTTCAATTAGCAGTCTAGTGCTTATCCTATAGCACCACACCAGGGCTCCCTTCAAGTATCTATAATTGGTATATTCCAAAAAGTGATGCTATTAAAATAACCTCAAAGCTTTCAATTACCTCAAAAGAAACTTTTCAAATTTTAAGCAGGAAAACATCTTATTTGTACATATTTGATATATAAATGTTAATTACCCTGCTGTTTTTTTAAAAAAGGCATACTCATTTTAAGCAAGCTCTTGCTTATTTTTTTCTTGTTTTTAGATACTATAGTATTTGTTCCTTTGTAATGCAATGGGAATAGATAGCTACTGGAATCCCATCAGTGGTCAACATGACAAACTAGACAACATAACCATATCAGATAAAGTAAAACTAATGAGGACACCTCGGTATTATAAATGGCCACATATTAATAACTACATTGACATAGTCTCATAGGTAAAAAAAAAAACACAACAAATACAATGAACATTTTATCATCTAGCAAGACGTATAGAAAAACAGTAATGGGTGGGCATCTGTGTCATTAAGATTTATCATCAAATTGATACTTTTGGTCACAGTCTTAGAGCCACAATTTAATTGCTGTTGCTATTGTTGTATTTACTGCATTACCTCAACAGAGACCACTGCTGCTTCTCTGTTGATCTTCACTTGGTGTAGGTGCCCGTCAGCCATGTTTTTAAAGTCAAAGTTAACAACATCAGGTTCTTGATGCCTGCCTAGCTTGTACCTAATCTGCAAACTTCCTGAAAGAGAGAAAAACATGATTTTAAACTAAACTAGAATGTTATTAAAATATCAATGTGAGTACTAAAGCACATTTCATTTGTATTCAACATGAGGGTAAGTAAAAAAGTACACAATCATAATACAGAAACCTATATCAAGTAAAAATATGAAGCTATTATTTCTTTTTTTATATACACTTGTGTTTTATTTACTATGCAAAGGTTTTCAATTGTGTGGATCATTATAAACTACGGATAACATTGCAAAGAATGGATATTTCAGAAACATGATTGTTCTCATAAGGAAGCTGTATATAGACCGAGAGGCAGTTGTTCAAACATATCAAGGGGATATTGAATGGATTAAAATCAGGAAAAGTAGGTGTCAAGCTGTATTCTTTCAGTGTGTATGCTGAGCAAATAATCTGAGAAACTGGATTATATGAAGAAAAATTTGGCATCGGGATTGGAGAAGACTCATTAACAATGTGTGTTACACAGATGATAAAACTTTACTTGCTAAGAGTAAAGAGAATTTAAGATACTTACCAGTGAATATCAAAGACCACAGCCTTTAGTTTGGAATGCAACTTGATGTAAAGAAAACAAAACCTTCACCACTGGATCAATAAATAATATCATGATAAAGGAGAAAAGATTTAAGTTATCAAAGACTTAGTTTTGCTTGAATCTACCAAAACAGTCACAGAAGCAGCAGTCAAGAAATCAAATGGTATATTGATTTATGCACATTTGCTGCACAGGACCTCTTTAAAGTGTTCAAGAACAATGATATCAGGTTTTTTTTTTTGTTTTTAAATAAATGCTTTATTGTGAATTATGTGATAGTTTACATGGGATACCATAGGTTTTACATTCATTCTGTCATATATCATTTCATTGCCATAGTTACAATCCTGTCCATGAACCATCAACCAACCAAAGGGTATACCCTGCAAGCCTGCCACCCACCCCACCCCACCACCAACCCACCCCTGTCATTAGCACACAGCTCTTTTCCCTCTCTGGATCTCAAGTTCCCAGCCTCTCCATCTCTCCGTGTCATCGTCTCTGCCTCCATCTCAGGTGTCACTTCTCTGGGTAGGGTCCCGCTCTCCGCTCTTCTCCATTGATGGTCCCAGGGCCCTCTGCTCCTAGACTGAAAAGTTAATCACTCCACTCCTTGATGTAAAATGTCCACCTTTACATTTCCATCCCTCACAATCAGTCCTGATAACAATTATTCACTATTGCATGACCCATCTGCATTTCATTTCATCAGCCCTTCCTAGACAGGTTGGATATTACTCACTGGAGACTCTACCTTTCTGTACGCCCTCTGGATCTAGGTTCCCTCTTGAAAACTTGTAAGCCAGGCACTTCTGGCCTTTGTAGTCCCCTTCCCCCCCTCCCCCCCCATTTTTGGGTAGCCAATGTCCAAGTTGCCCATCCCTGTCTACTCTTTGTGTGGAGGGGGTGGGAATGATTCTTGCAGTGAGGATTTGCTTCCTCTTTTGAGCTACTGCATCCATAGGTGTAGGTCAAGTTCATCAAATTGTATCAGATAACGCTTTTTTTTTTCCTCTTCTTTCTTCTTCAGGTTGAGCTCTGATCATACAGTCATTGAAGCCAGGTCAAGTGGGTATTATCTACAAGTGTGGATGTTCTTGTGCATATGCCCTCTCTTCTTATCAGCTGGATATTTCACTATCCACTCCAGTCCTCTGTGGCTATGTCACTGACTCTGGGCCCTAGAGTCCCCAGGTCTTGCCACACTCCTGGCTAACCAGATCTCTACCCGGGTTCACAGGAGTCTATTGAACATTGTAGGGCTTAGCTCGGCGCTTCATTGCTGTTTTTCCCTCACTTCCCGTTATGGGTGACGTGTGTGGTCGCCAATCAGAGCACGTATTCCCATTGCGTCTTAGTCTAGGAAGAGGATTTGCACTGGGGACCTGACCACTTGCCTTGATGTCTCCTGGGCAAGCAACTTGCTTATTCTTGTAGTAACAGTTGGTCTGCCCCTATTGTTTTGTATTTTTCCTGTAGGTCTTTCTTTCAAGAAGTATCTTCTGTTTTTCTAGCTGCTCCAGGCTGGTCTGCTCATCCTTTCAAGTGGGAATTTCCCATCTTTGAAGGTCTGGATGTGGTTCAGGTTTCCACTTATAGTCTTATGTAATACATAGGCTCCTCAGGCAACCTCCTTCACTGGGCACTTTGTAGCCCCACTTTAGGTGTTCCAATCAGTTATAGGCAGAAGACGAACTTATAAGCTTTCTATGGTGATGTTTCTGGCTATTCCTTTCTCTCCCCCTCCAGTGTCTATTTTATAATATAATGCATGGGAAACCAAAATTCAAAAGACAGCCAAGCATCTTAATATTATTTCCCCCTTCCAACCATGTCCCAATCTCTGTTGTTCCAAGGTTGTCCCTACATCATTATTTACCTCTGTCCCATTTAGCCCATTCAAACCTGCCTAATTGTTCTCCCATCTGCTTTGTTTCTTCCATTCCCCTCTCCCTTCTTGTATATTGCCCCCTTCCCCAGCACCCAAACTATCCTGTGTGTAATCCCTGCCCTGTGCTCCACCTTCCCCTTCCTCCCCTAACCCTACCCCTACGTCCCAGCAACCAGCTAAGAATCCACTTTAGTGGATTAGTATGGGTTCTTTTACTTAGTCTTTTACAGTAGTGGTCCTATGCAGTATTTCTCTTTTTGTGACTGACTAATTTCACTCAACATAATGTCTTTAAGGTTCATCCATGTTAGGTAGTGGCATGCAGCTTCCTTGTTATTTTTCAAGGTAGCATAATATTCCATTGTGTGTATGTACCGCAGTTTGTTTATCAATTCTTCAGTTGATGGGCACTTTGGCTGTCTCCATCTTTTTGCTATTGTAAATAGTGCAGCTATGAACATTGGTGTGCATATATCTTCCCATGTTGTGGCTCATTTTTCTTGTGGGTAAATACCAAGTAGAGAAATTACTGGATCGTATGATATTTCTATTTTCAACCTTCTGAGGAAGCGCCATATTGCTTTCTAGAGAGGTTGGACCATTTTGCAGTCCCACCAGCTATGCAGGAGTGTCCCAGTCTCTCCATATCGCCACCAGCATTTATTGTCCTCAACTTTTTTGATCTTTGCTGTTATTGCTGGTGTGACATGATATCTCACTGTTGTTTTGATATGTATCTCTCTTATAGCTGTTCACAGGGGGAAGGCTTTCAGTTTCTCTCCACTGAGCATGATATAGGCTCTTGGTTTTGTATATTGCTCTCGATTATGTATAGGAATTTCCCTTCAATTCCTACTTTGTTGAGTGTTTTTATCAGGAATGGATGTTCAATTTTGTCAAATGCCTTTTCTGCATCAATTGATATGATCATGTGGTTCTTTTCCTTTTTCTTATTTATATGATGGATTACGCTGATTGTTTTCCT